GAGGAAATGAGAATAATTAGGCCAACTTTTACTCCAATATACTTTCTGCTGATGCACACAATGATATTTCAGGTCTGCTTTGTTTACAGGTCAGATTCTCGAGGTCAACACAGAGGGGCAGATGTGCTCCTGAGAGCCCTCGTTGAAGCAGAAATTGACGGCGTAGCTGTAGCCAATCAGCTGACAGCTTTGAAGGAAACTATGGACAGCTTTGCCAAGGTAAAACTTGCACTGGAAGATATTTTACTGATAAATCAAGTGGAGAGATGTGGACTCCCACAAGTGCCAGGTCTCTTATTACTGTTCATCTCTGTTAAATGTACTGGGATCTGTGGAGAGGAAAGATTTTCTGGCAGCAGCTTGTTTCTTTAACAAAACAGATGTACCGAAAGTATCAAAAAGACTACAACCAGAACCTATACTCTCATTTCAGGGCTGATTTACAAATTAACAAAGGTAGCTGATATCCATTACCATGGACCATCCGAACTACCCACGCAAAGAGTATTCCCATATCACTTTGAGCTTATATTCCTTATTTTGACATGTTAGAGCAATGTTTTTCTGTTATGCTGTCTACCTGCCCCTCATGGCACAATATGCACAACATAGGGCCATTTACAAGAAAAAGTAGAAATGAAGTAAAAGAAGTAGAATTTAAGCAAGACATTAAAAAAACTACAACCCTGGGACTTGAGGATCTTAAAAATGATGTCCAGGGCAAGAGAAAAATGTCATAAATATCCACAGACATAGAAAGAATAAAAATAGTGAGCTGAATAAAAGGAGTTGGATACATTTTAACCCACAAACACTTAATCACACAAAGAACAACTGCTACAGTGGCTAACGTAGCAGCTGTTAAAAGACTTCAACTCCCACAACACCCTGCACATCATAGGGCAGATTGAAAACAATTTTTCATCTGTTTAGATAAGGTTTTACTACTAATATACAGTTTAAACATATTGGATTAACTTGTTTATATGACTGTAAAGCACAAAAA